AAGTCACCAGAAGCAACAGAATTTGTTTAAACTGTTAAATGTCCTTTCCATCTTCTTCAGATTTTATTTTTGTTTAGTCACTGTTAAGACATGCGTAGGTTTTGGTTAAATTCAATTTAATATACAACAAGTGATGATTTATCACCAAAAAAAGAATGATTAATTGAATTTATAATCAATTACAGAACTGCTTTACACTTTCATAGTTCACTTAAAATATTCTACTTCCTAAATGAAGCTCTACTTTTTAAAATACAAATTCTTTGTGCAAAATCTGCTACCAGCTCTATCTTCAGTTACAGTTACACCAAGTGTTTGGAAGTGTTGAGTAAATAATCCAATATTTAGATTTGTGTATTTAAAGGCTTTCTTTTATAGAATCTTTGTACAAAGACAATGTATTAGGTTTTCATCTATAGAGACTTTTCTTCATTATTTTGCCTTTTTTATCTCAGACCTTCTCGGAAACAACAAGCAAGGCAATCAAAGCCAGCAATGGGACTTGACTCATGAACACAGAGTCCCCTTCTTGCCCCAATATGAGAGACACTGCTGAGGGCAGGAATAAAGATCCTTGAGACACTATGAGCCACAGGCCAATCTCCATCTCCACTGCTTACGAAATACAGTACCATATTCTTCAGCCACTGTTTCTTGGGTTTTTTCCCTTCATTCTGTCATCATATTAAATCTCAACATCCTGCTCATAAAACATCCAAATGCCAGAGCTCAGCCTTCTTAGTTTCTAAGGACTTTCTCTTTACTCAGCTACACCTTAACTTTATCACTATGCAAACCAGCGCCATGGCCAAGTTCACTGTTTCAACTCCCCCTCTTGATCACAGCTTCCTCGTCTCTCCTGTGATCCTAGTGTAGCCTTCAATACAATTAAGCCATCACGCTTGCCCTCTCTGCTTCCTAAGGCTGTCAGTAACCTCCTGCCTCAATCATCACTGTACTCATATCATTATATACACAAACCCACAGCCCTGTAATCCAACACCATGTCTCTGTGCCAACCACCCCCTGAATCCCTGACTTCCCAACTATTCTTACCACTCACAACCCAGGGCTCTGGATATTGTTAGAAACATATGTGAAAACATGATCATTAATCTTTCCTGGACATATTCACAATGTCTAGCTTCAACATCTCTTTATCCCTAGGCAGGAGTCCCTTTCCTCTTGTAGAAACTGCTCCTGGCTGTTCTAAACTATTTCTCCTAACTCCTCTCTCAGCAGATGACCATTTCTTCCTAACAGTATTACCCATCTGTCCAACCAACCAACTTCCTGTGCACAGTTCTATGTTTTAGTCAATCCTCCTTTTTGTCCCAGCACAGGAGAGCTTCTCCCCTGATCTTTCCAGGCCTCCCCTCAGTGCGATAAGACATTCTCTTGGCTTATTTTCCTCTTGCAAGCCACAACACACTTTCACATATTCTTTATACATTTTCTAAAATTATAGCCCATGCTAGTTGACTTGAGGCAGGAGACAGATGGGCCTCCAAGCTAAGAAGCTGGAGTCTGTCCCCTGTGGACAGACACTCCAAATAAGCAGGAGCTCAAGAGGAGCTGAGCCCTGCCTAGATAAGAGATAAAGACCACATATTCTTCATTCTCGAAGTCAAGAAGACTTTACTGACCACGTATGCACAGAAAGGCTCCTTGGAGGTCAAAGAGAGGGGGCATCGCCTCATAGTAAGTGATGTTGACCTAGCCTTACGCCGCCTCGCAAGACTCCATCCTGGCTGAGAGACACGAGCGCACATGGGAAGATTTGATGTATACTAAATGCGGACTCAGGACCAAGCAGAACAGAGACCCGGAAGAAACACCCCATCAAAGTGATCCCAACTACCACGAGGGCGTGGCCCTCTCTCTGAGTCCACCAGTGTATCTAACCATACATACTCTTTTTCTAATAAACACTTTGCTCACTACTTTCCATATCTGTGTGGAAATTCCTTTCTACAGAGCTGACAGGCCAGGGCCTTGTCACCGGTGCCTGGTGGTCTAGTGGCGAGGATTCAGCTCTCACGTCTGTGACCCAACCTCAATCTCCACTGGTAACCAAAGCCCTGCTTCAAACTGCTGCAGGCTGAGACCACCCAGAATCAAACTTATAACTTTCCTCAACTATTTGCACAAGATTTGACTTTCTCAACGCAGAACCCCAACTAACACAGGAGTTAGGGGCACTGTGGAATATCCACATGTAACTGATAGTTGGCCCTCCACATCCATGAATTCAGCTGACAGTGAATCATATAGAACTGCAGCATTTAATATTGAAAAAAATCTGCACATACCTGGACCCATGCAGTTCCATCCCATGCTGTCCAAGGGCCAACTATATTTTCCTGGCTCCCATGTAACTTCCAACTTTTTTTTTCACCTCTCCTTAACCATTCTTTCCCACTTCTATCATCAGCTTATGATCTGAGCCATAAGTGCACATACTACCCACATCTCTCCATGGTACTTGAACTTCTATTGTGGAGCTCATAAAATTAGAGTGAAGATTATACTTAAAGCACTTGAAAGTCAAGTCACCTCCACAGACTGTGTCAGAGAGGATCAGTCTCCCACAATGACTGATCTCTACCTAGATTATACTGCATGGCTGTCTCTCTAATGGGACTAGACCTAAGGTAAGCTGATGTTTCCTGAGAAAATATGGTCAGCCCTCCTCCACAACATTCCTTCCTCGATAGTATCTCCCCCACAAAGCCACTAAATTAATCTCTTCTAAATCCCACATTGATCCTTTTGTTCTATCAAAACCTCTGGCAATTTTCCCACAGACTATAAACAAACAACTCAAACACTCAAAAGCAGGGCTGGCTCAGTCTCTGTGGGGTTTCTGGGTGCTGGTGTACACAAGGTTTTGTTTGAGCCCTCCAAGCATCTCTGGTCGGTATGGGGTTTGATTGTAAATGTGATTTCGTCCCTCCTACCACCTTGATGGATGAAGCAAAAGCTAGAATCCAACAAGACTGTTGAAGCTTGGCTGGATGAAGCATAAGTTGGAATCAAGATTGCCAGGAGAAATATTAATAACCTCAAATATGCAGATGATACCACCCTTATGGCAGAAAGTAAAGAACTAAAGAGCCTCTTGATGAGAGTGAAAGAGGGGAGTGAAAAAGCTGGCTTAAAACTTAACATTCAGAAAACTAAGATCATGGCATCTGGTCCCATCATCTCATGGCAAATAGATGGAGAAAAAGTGGAAACAGTGACAGTTTTTCTTTTCTTGGGCTCCGAAATCACTGCGGATGGTGACTGCAGACATGAAATTAAAAAACGCTTATTCCTTGGAAGAAAAGCTATGACTAATCTAGACAGCATATTAGAAAGCAGAGACATTACTTTGTGAACAAAGGTCTGTCTAGTCAAAGCTATGGTTTTTCCAGTAGTCATGTATGGATATGAGAGCTAGACCAGAAAGAAACCTGAGCACCAAAGAACTGATGCTTTTGAACTGTGGTGTTGGAGAAGACTCTTGAGAGTCCCTTGGACTGCAAGGAGATCCAACCAGTGAATCCTAAAGGAAATCAATCCTGAATATTCATTGGAAGGACTGAGGCTGAAGCTAAAGTTCCAGTACTTTGGACACATGATGGCAAGAACAGACTCACTGGAAAAGACCTTGATGCTGGGAAAGATTTAAGGCAGGAGGAGAAGAGAATGACAGAGGATGAGAAGGTTGGATGGCATCACTGACTCAATGGACATGAGTTTGAGCAGGCTCTGGGAGCTGGTGATGGACAGGGAAGCCTGACGTGCTGCAGTCCATGGGGTCGCAACGAGTCGGACATGACAGAGTGACTGAACTGGTAACAAACAACAGAACTTCTTAGCCCAGCTCTTAAACCCTACATACGCTGCAAACTACCAACCACTCTTCTACTAATGCCTTCTAAGAAGCTTCTGCCTTATTCTACAAATGTACACAGTACTTTCTCACCCTGTGGCCCCTGTTCAGGGTCACTCACATAAACCACGCCCTAGTTGTGTGATCTCCCTCAACTCAGACAACGCTCTCCAGAAGTCAGGGCCACCCTAAGGACGCCCTTCTCAAACTGCACTTCCTCATCCGTGGGCGAAATAACAGCAAACGGTGCTGTTTCCCAGCACATTTAATTCACAACCTGACCATTTTATGTATGTGAATCTCAACAAGGTGGTGAGGCCAGCAATATCGAATATGATGTTTTAAATAAGTCTGTAACCCTCACTGTAACTGACAACCAACATCTTTATCACCAACAACATTTATTCATTATGTGCCAGGTGCTTCGACAAAGCTTTACAGTGATCCTGTGGGGGTATATATTACTATTTTTCCCATACACAAATGGGAAGCCTGGTTCATAGACAGGGGCCTACCAGAACTTTGAACACAATGGGTACAAAATTATATCTGTGATTTGTATTCTTAATACATTTATATTAGTGATAGATGTATTACAAATAACTATGCTCTGATACTGTTCATTAGTTAATCTGTCAAAGTAGAAAGTTTTCCTATTCTTCCCAGTCAAGCACAATCTTCTGAGCCTTCAAGACCCAATTCAAACGTCACCTCTTCAGAAAGTCTCCTGATAACACCCTGGCAAAGTTAGTTGCTCCTTCTGAGAACTATCTTTAATCCTTGTAATGTGTCTTTAATACAACACTAAGGTTATTTAGCAGACTGCTCAGTTAGAATGGGTTTCTAAATGGCAGTTTGTTCAATACTTTTAATTTTCAGAACAATTAAATGGAAAGTAAAATGAATGAAATTTATATCTGCTGGCCAAATAAAACACAAAGAAATGGTATTATCTTATTAGCAATATTTGATCATCATACTCACAAATCTTTGCTGTAACATTCAGTACATGTATCATATTATAAAATGAGTTATGGTTGAGTGTAATTCAGAAGGTCTATTCTTCTTTTCAGTATGTCCAAACAAAGCTTTATTCTTAAGAAATGGTGAAGAGACTTACCAGTCTTCTCCTTTCTTCTTCTACTGCGATAAGTAGTCTTGCGAATTCTTTTAGTGACTGAGCTATTTAAAAGATAAATTTTTTTAAAAAAGGCATTAACCTCTTTACATTGCCAGTATCTAATTGCACAAGAATAAACATTACAATAAAGATACTCATAAATTTGTATATATTCTGTGGTTTTATGTTTTTATAAGCATAAAACAGTATATACAATGGATTTCAATGACTAAAAGTTATAGATAAGAAATGGCTACAAACTGAAGCTTAGTACATATCAAGTGTAATATTTTTTCTTCATAGGCACTAGGGGAATATAGTTTATAAACTTAATAATAAAATTTACACATTAACAAACAAAAGTATAGTACTGGAATCACTTCTAAATAAAATGTTTACAAAAAATAAATTCATTAAATCTGAATGCACCATCTATAAGAAGCAATAAATCCAGTTCTATTTAGATGTATTACACTTAGTGAAAGTGAGTGAAAGCCACTCGGTCATTATCTGACTCTTTGCAACTCCATCAACTATACAGTCCATGGAATTCTCCAGGCCAGAATATTGGAGTGGATAGCCTTTCCCTTCTCCAGGGGATCTTCCCAACCCAGGGATCAAACCCAGGTCTCCTGCATTGCAGGCGGATTCTTTACCAGCTGAGCCATAAGAAAAGCCCAAGAATACTAGCCTATCCCTTCTCTAGTGGATCTTCCCGACCCAGGAATTGAACCAGGATCTCCTGCACTGCAGGCGGTTTCTTTATCAACTGAGCTTTCAGGGAAGCTCACTATACTTAGTAGCAGCCAGTAATGCAAAGTCTCCCACTGACTTATTTCTAGAAGCTCAACGCTTATAGATACTTAGAAATGGATTCTGTATTCTGTTTTGCTGTATTACTCTCATATCCAAGGTACTTTAGACCTTTGCTACTCGGAGTGGTCAGAGGATGACCAGCATTAGTATTTTGGGAGCTTGTTAGAGATAAAGATGCTAAGACCTCATCCCAGAATCTGAATTTTAAAAGAATCCCCAGGTGATCCCTTTATACATTAAAGTTGAGAAGCATTACTTTAGAAAACTGAAAGTGTATTGTTGTGGTTTGCAAAGTATTCAGAAACTCTGGAAGGACAAATGAAGAAATAAAATAAGTGACAACAGCATATTCTTTAAAAATGCACAGTGCTGTGAAAGATGAACTCATCCACATTAATTTCTGTACTTTATACTTGATATGAATTATTAAGTAAAGTCAGAATGTTGGGAGTACAAAACTAACAAAAGAAATAGTGAATGCAAATTTTGTTTTGATTTAAGCTAGACCCTTCCCATCTATGTCTTTATTCTTTAGGCTCCCACCTCTTTCTTCATCCACACTGATAGTGAAAATACTGTGAGACCAGAAATTTAGTAATTCTGGCATAAAGTTTACAATAAAGGCAGGTGAGTAGTGATAATAAATCAAGAGTCTCATCAACAAAATTTATCAAATGCTTATAAGAATGCTTTCTATTCAAGAATTTAAAATTACAAACTTGGATGTTTTTCTTTCTCTTTTCTCAGAATTACTAGGCTTACATTAACTAAACTGGTTTGAAATGCTATCCCTATGATAACTTCACACTGTATTTTATTCAGTTACCAGGACAGATTAATTTGATAAACATATGAATGGGTTACCAGGACAGATTAATTTGATAAACATATGAATGGCCTTAGAGTTAAGTGTAACTTTTTTAAGTGTTTAGAAAATGTGATTTTAATTTCTGCAAAAATACCTTTAAATACTATAATACAATACAACCCAGTTTTGACAACAATAAGCTAAACAGAAAAACATTTTATTAATACAAATAGATGATTTTAACTGGAGTGTGCAATAACATATTATATTTTTGTAACTTCAGTAAAAAACAAACAAACAAAAAGTATCCAAACACCATCTGGCAACTATCTACTGCCAACTGAAGATCTGTCGAAGAATCTGGAAAAACAAGCCCAATAAAAGTTTGGATGGTGAAAGGTAATGTTATTATGCCTACACAGAAAGAAGCCAAGAGACACTGGAGGCAGCAGATACTCCTGAGGTGAGAGGACAAGAGGAGATTATAAAGAGTAGCTCAAAGTCTGAAAAGAAGCACTTTTAACCTCAGATTTTTAACTCAGTGTCTCCCAAACTTTTTAATAAGTATCAGAAACATACAAAAACAAAGAACCTTACCCTCATATGCTTCTTTTTATCAAAAGCTATTGGGTTAACACACTCTACTGAAACATGGAAACAAAACAAGAGCAAAGGATAGGAATTCTAGCAAATCAAAGAAGCAAATAAATTCTCAGGACAATACAAAGTTATTCCAGAACAACAGTTGTGCCAAACTTCCAGAGGCTCTTGTCTACACTGGAACAACAGGTTAGAAGCTCCAGGAAAGATCTCCAGAGAAAGAAAAAAAAGAACTGATCAATATCCTGACACATCTAAATGCAATGAGAAGAAATTTACATTCTTTTTTTTTTTTAAAGAAAACTCAAAGGCAATTATAGTCAAAGATCAAAAATATTGAGGGGGGAAACATTCCAAAAAGTTCCAAAGCTTGAATTTGCTACATGCTAGCAAATATTTACATAGCATTTACACTGTATTAGGCAGTATAAGGAACATAGAGATGATTTCATATAGTGTGGGATGGTATGCACAGGTTATATGCAAATACTACAGGATTTTACATAAAGGACTGGAACAGTCAAGGAGTCTGGAATCCGGGGGTTCCAGAACCAATCCCCTCCAAATACCAAGGAACAACTGTATTGACTCCTGGGAAAGCAAAGTGATACAGCTAACATGATCAAAATAGCTGAAATAACAGAGTTGTGAGTAATATGTACACAGTCACTGAAATATAAACACTGACAGTCATTAAGAACAGGATACAACAAAAACTGGTTAAAACCAACTAACTCCAAGATGGTGGAAGATTTAGCTTTCAGGGGACCCTGAGCCTTATTATACACTCACTGTAATGAATTAGCATGCTAAGTGACACACCCACAGGTACCATGACAGTTCTGAAGCCAAAAAGCAAGCAGCGGCCCAATTCCCGGAAATCCCCATGCCCTCTGTCCCCAAAATAAAAGGCCAAAAAGTGAGCAGTGGCCCAATTCCTGGAAATCTCCACGCCCTCCCCAAAACAGTTAGAATAATCCTGCCCCTTGTTAGCCTACGAAATTACCCAGCCTTATAAAACTAACCACTCCACATTTTGGGTCAATCTTGCCTTCTGAAACAGATCACATTCCACCTGTGGAGAGTGTATCTCCCAAAGTAAGTGTGCTTTCACTTAACTAAGGCTTGCTCTTGAAATTTTTCCTGATGGAAGCCAAGGACCCTCACTGGGCAGCCTGTCTCAGGGACCTGCCCAAGACCTGGGCATGACCATCTTCTAGCACCCCATTCTCCTGCAATAGACCTTCTGCGGAATTAGTGGCAGGGACTGGTAGAAATGGAGATTGCTTGTTTTCGTTAAGCTGAAAATAAATCTGTAACTTCTCAAACAAAATTGCAAATAAAAATGCTTTACTTCCCTGCTAGCCAACACCACAGGAGGGCACAGATCATGTATTATTAATTTTCTCAAAGGGTTAAATAAATATCTAGCACACCGAAGCCTATCAGCAGGTATTTTTGAAACACATAAGACAATAACTTAATGTCAGACTGGCGGGAACACTGTGTGTGTATTAGTCACTCAGTCGTGTCCAACTCTATGAACCCCATGGGCTGTAACCACCAGGCTCTCTGTCCAAGGATTCCCCAGCAAGGAAACTGGAGTGGATCGCCATGCTGTCCTCCAGGAGATTTTCCCAACCCGGGGATGGAATCCAAGTCTCCTGCATTGCAGGCAGACTCTTCACCATCTGAGCCACCAGGGGTATACCAGAAACTCCCAACTGGTCAACCCAGAAAACGTTCACCACCCCATGTAGCATGCCCTAGTAGTCCCGGGGTGTATTTCAGAATGATGAACTCAGAAGTCCAAAGACTTCCCCAAGGTAACTACTACTCAAAAATTGTGGAATTGTCTTAAATCAGATTTTGCTTACAAGAATCTGCCCTCAGTGCAGAAGACCTGGATTCGATTCTTGCCTGGAGAATTCCATGGAGATAGGAGCCTGGCGAGCTCTAGTCCATGGGGTCACAAGGAGTCAGACATCACTGAGTGACTCACTCACACACACACACACACACACGCGGAAACTCAAGTTCTCAGTTTGCTGTTGTATTTCCACCTCCAAACTTAATGATGTCATTTTATACTTGAATGGTTTTCTGGTCTGTTTCCCTTATAAATACTATTTATAGACTCAGTACAATAACAGTAGATTATAACGAGATAGTCGGAAGAGAAATCTTAACTTGTGAAAGCAGCTGCATGTTTGGCTCCTCGACTTCCAGCAGTTTTCTGGGTCTGCCCCAATTAGACAATAACTTTTGTTCCCTCTATTTCTTCAGCTGATTTTTTTCAGGGAAATGATTTCATAAAAATTAAACTAAGATTGTTCTCTTTAAAGATTATAGTCCTAGTTCTATAAAATCAAACTGTTTCTTGGTCTAAATGAAGCTTTCAGGTTCATCTTTTGTTCTATAAGACAATGAACAGGCCAGGAATACTAAATATTAGTCATTTATTTCAGGAATTAGGGGCAGTGGCCAACTAATCTGTAAACCTATATCTAATGTTTTCCCTAAATCTTTAGATTTATGATGTCGAAGTATCACATTAGCAGTTTACTAAGCACAATATACCACAGACTGAAAACAGGAATTAACAATCCTATAAGGCAAGAATAAAACAACTCAAAGTATTATCACAAAAATTGGGTTTTAGGAGAAGGGGCTAAAGGATAGCCAGTCACTTGCCTGCCCCACTCTCAAAGTCTAACAGGTACCTCTGACACAAATCAGGCAGATCCAAGCTGCCCAGTGTACCCCAGCAAGAATCTAGAGATTAGAAGCCAGTTATTAGAATCTCCAATGCATGGGACCCACAAATGCCTTAAGCAA